CATGAGAGGAGCCAGGACTTCCTCCTCCACCTGGTGGTAAAGAGGAGGCTCTCCCTTCCCTGATGGGGTGATATCAAAGGAGGCAGGATTCTCACCACTGACCAAAGGTTATGAGACCACTTCCCCATGGTGTCTGTGGGAGCCACATAGAATCTCAAGGACTCATGAAAGTGTTAGTTGCTCAGTCATGTCCAATTCAACTGTCTGTGCCCCCATGGACTATATATAGCCCACCAGTCTCTTCTGTCCATGGAATTCTCCAGACAAGAATACTGGAGTGTGTTGCTATTCCATTCTCCAGGGGACCTTCCCGACTCAGAGATTAAACCTGGGTCTTCCACACTGCGGGCAGATTCTTTACCATCTGAGCCACCAGGGAAGCCCCCAAGGACCCACAGGATGATAATAAAAGATCTAATATTCATGTCATTGGGGTCCCAGAAGGAAAGAAGAAAGAAGGCAGAGCTAAAATAGTATTCTCATAGGAAAAAAATGGGTGAAAACTTACTAAATTTGCCAAGACATAAAGCTAGTTTCAAAAAGCTGAGTGAAACTCAAATAGAATAAACCCAAAGATATCCACACCAAGGTATGGCACAGTTAAATTTCCCAAAACCGAAAACAAAGAAAATCTTGAAATCATCCAGAGAACAACATGGACAAAACAGTTAATGACAGTAGACTGCATATCAGAAACCGTGGATGCTAAAGGAAGTGGCAAAATGTTTTTCAAATGCTAGGAAAAAAGTACCAGCAACCCAGAATCTTATACTTGGGTAAAAAAAAAAATCCTTCCAAAAATAAAGGGAAATCAAGATATTCTCAGATGAAAGAATACTAAGAATTTGTTACCAGGAAGCTAAGAGAACTTGTTAGCCTAAAAGAATGACTAAAGGAAGTTACCCAAATGGAAAGGAAATGATAAAAAAGAATCTTAGAACATCATGAAGCAAGGCAGAGAGTATGCGATAAGCAAAAATATGGGCAAATACAATAGACTTTCTTTCTCTGAGTTTTCAAAATTACATTTGATGATTGAAGCAAAATTGACATACAACACTTAACACTGATGTAGTTCTCAATGGGCATAAGGAAATATTTACAATAAATATACTATATATAGAGAGAAGTCAAAGAGATATAAAGGGGCAAGATTTATATGCTTCACAATAACTGATAAGATAATGATAGCAGTTGACTATTATAATTATATAAATTATGTATATATAATTTAATACATAGAGCAGTCACTAAAAAGGCTATACAAAGAGATACATTTAAAAACACTATTGGTAAATCAAAATGTAAAAATGTTTAACCCAAAGCAAGGCAGGAAAATGTATAGAGAAACAAAACTCAGGAAACAAACAGAAAACAAAAACCAAAATGTCAAATCAAAACTAACAAACCTCTAGAAAAACTAACAAAGAAAAAGATGGAGAAAACATAAATTACCAGTGAATGAAACAGGGGATGTCACTACAGACCCTGAAGACATCAAATGAATATTGAAGGAATTCTACAAGCAACTCTACACACATAAATTTGAATATATTGATGAAACAGAACAATTCCTATAAATAACTAAATAAACAAAAAACTGCAATTCACACAATATGAAATCGGTAATTTGAATAGCCTTGTGACTATTAAGAAAATTAAATACGTAATTTTAAAACTTGCAAAGAAGAAATCTCCAGGCCCAAATGGTTTTACTAGACAATCTACCAAACATTTAAAGAGTTAACGCCAATTCTACATAATCTCTTCCAGAACAAAGAGGAGGAAATACTTCCCAATTCATTTGATTTATACCACAACCAAAGGCAGAAAAGCAGAAAACTATAGACCAACATCCCTCTTAAGTACAAAAGTCCTTTAAAAAAAAATCAGCAAATAGAATTCAGCAATATACAAAAAGAATTATACACCATGAGCAAGCAGGGCTTATCCCAGGGATATAAGACTTTTAATATTTAAAAATCAATCAATGAGTCAATCACATTAACAGACTATAGAAGAAAAAAATCACATGATCATATCAACTGACTGTATCAATATCAATATCCTGACTATGACACTGTACTACAGTTTTTGAGTGATATAACCATAGAGGAAAACTAGATAAAGGGGGCCCAGGATCTCTATTATTTCCTACAAGTGTCTGTGAATTTACAATTACCTCAAAATAAGATGTTTAATTTTTTAAAATTCTTGCATGACATACCAAAAAAGCCACACCACTTTATTTTCCATAATTCTGCAAGGTTCAGCTGATGTAGCTGGCTCTGCTGATCTTGGTTGGCCTCACTGATGTTTTGTGTGGGTTTCAACTAATCTAGGCTGGGTCCCTCTAAGTCAATCTGGGAGCTTGGTTCTGATCCCTGTGTCTCTCATCCCCAGCAGCCAGGCCTGGACATGTTCTCCCAGCTACTGCAGAGGTGCACGAGAAAGCACATTCTAATGGATAAAGGTCTCTCAAGCCTGGACTTAGTCATGGCTTCTACATTATGGTGGTTGAAGCAAGTAACATGACTGAGTCCAGTCTCAACGAACAGAGTAATGTATTCTACTCATGGGAGGGTACTGATAAGGTACATTCATGGACACGGGGAACAGTGAAAAGCTGGAGCCGTGATAGACTCTACCTCACCATCCCTGATCACCTCCAGGATTAAAAACACCGACTGCTACTCTTCCTTCTCAGAGGCAGGCTGTGGTTATTCTCCATTGTTTCAAGGGTCATAGAACAGGATCTGAGTGTCCCTTTGCCCAAGACCGGTCACAAGGGAAGATAATATATGATGTCTAATAACTTCCTACACTGAGCCAGGCTCCCCCTAGACTGTCCCACTGCCCTTGTCTCTACCTTGCCCAACCCCGACCTAATCCTTATTCCATCTGTGTCCCATCGCTGATTCTCTTCTCACCCCTTAATCTTGTAGATTGAAGTTCCTTTCCTGGCATTCACCAGACTTTTTTTTTTTTTAAAGGATCTCTGTCCAGTCATTAAGATCAGTCTTTTTTGGTCTCCATTTTCTCATCTGTAAAGAGGGAATAATAGCAGTACCTACACCGCTCCATCAGAGGGTCCATGTGGGGATGAAACAATACAACTTATATAATGAGTTTACACTGCCTGGTACATAGTAATCTCTCAATAAATTGTATTGTGTTTTTTTTTTCTCTTTTCTTTCAATATAGAGGTGAGAGGCATTCTCAGTCTAACTACAGTTACAGGAGAGTTAGCATTCCAAGTTGGAATTCTGAACATATTTTCCCATAGAAACACTGTTCTACACTGTGATGGTATTTTATACCACCATTACCACTCCTAAGGATTCCATAGTGTTGGTACTTCAGCTTAACCCTACAAGTTAAATGGGCTCTCCTAGACTGGTCTGGCAAAACTCACCACCATGAAGAATACCACTTCAAGAGGAAAACGTGAGTTATAAATAAGTCCCTTACAAATGAATTTTTGAAGTAGAACACAGTCTTAAGTTTAGTGCTGGCTAGAATGTTGTGAAGCCACATGCTTTGGAGATTGTAGATTTATCAGGTTGATGAAGGGTAGATATTCTACAGACCTGACCTCTCTAAGCAAGAATCTTAGGGATGAGGCCAGATGGCAGAGACTCTCAGGGCCAACGGTGAGAAGCAAAATTGTGCTGTGAAGACAACTAGGTTGACCTTGGGTGTGGGGGCAAGATAGGGGGAGGACAGGAGGTCACAATTGATACCTGGGTATACAGAGGCTGGGGAGATGAGGAGGCTCAAAAACAGGGTCTTGAGGGCAATGCCAAAGGAGTAGGTACATACTTGTTGATGGGAGGCTGTGAAAAAAGAAACATTTTTAACCAGAAACTTACAAAAATATATCTGGAATCCAAACATAGCTATATCCATCATTTGAAAATGAAATGGAGGGACTTCCCTGACGGTCCAGCACTCAAGATTCTGTGCTCCCACTGCCAGGGGCCCTGGGTTTCACAGGGAACTAAGACCCCACAAACTCTGAAGCTGTGTGCAGCAAAAATAAAAAAAGAAGAAAAAGAAAGAAAAATGAAAATGGAATGGAATGATCAGAAGATGTGTAAAAACTATAGCTCCAAGGCTAAGAGCCGAGAAGAGATAGATTTGGGGCCTTTATGTGGAATGCTTGTAAGGTCTGAATCACACTATAACCAGATGTTATAAGCTAAGCTGAGAGCTCTGGGATATAAATGGGACACTCAGAACACTTCACTCTAGAAAGTTCACATGAAGGTGACCTTCTGGGTACACAGGATAGCAACGAGCAGAGGAGGGAAGGGAAGGAAAGAGATTCTGCAGAACTAGAGGAAGTAGGGAGAGAAGCTGGTTGTCTGTGGAGGTACAGGCCCTTCGCACCCTGTACTAGCAAAGCTAAGAATGAGCCTGAGAGGGACCCAGGTCTCCCTGGGTAGTGCTGGGGTCCCTCTCAACCCTGCTGGACATCCTACACCTCTACTGTGTCTGCAACTACATGTGGACCCTAAAATGGCACCAAGATCTTGAGTGATGCTGAGCGTAGGGAGTGAACAGGGAACTTGGGGGATGTAGCCTTTATTCCTGCTTTCTTCGTCCCTGACAGTGGTCACCAAGCTTCCATCTGAATACCTTCACTGATGGAGACTCACCTCTCATAAGGTCCCCCTTTCCTTATTAAATGTCTGTCATTGCGAAGGGTTCTCTCCAAACAGCCAGACCAGATCTACCCCCACCCTTGTCCTCCTCCTGTTCTCTGAAGCTAAGTAGCTAAATCCAATCCATCGTCCTCCTGAGAATCAGTTCCATTCCCTCCAGATCGTCTCTCTTCTGAGAAACAGTCCACATTGCACAACCTTAATAACCAAGTCCAATGATCATGTCAGGATGGCCTATTTATGCAAAGCACCATGCACATAAGTGGGGTCCTAAAGTGAATAAATGATCTCCTTGCTCTTCAGGCAAACAGGGTGAAGACAGAGGCATGGACAATGGACCCTAGTACAAAGAAGACTGATAAGTACTATAATCAATGTTCAAAACTTGCTATGGTGTAGCTAAGGGGAAAGAGGAGACCAATTCCATTCGGGAGCATCTAGAAAGGTTTCTAGGAAGAGGTGGGATTTGAGTTGGAGTTTGAAAGACTTTGAGCAGGGGTGAGGTAGGAGGCAGGTGGTGAGTGGAGAGTCCACACAATATGGACTTGATCCTGGTTCTTAACTTCCTATGTGACCTTGAGAATATTGAAAATGAGGGCACTGAATGCACTGATCACTAAAGTCTAGTGGTGGGTGTGTTTGGGCCAGGGGTAAGGAGAGAAGAGGAGGAGAATTTATTCAATACTCTGCCTGTCACATGGGTGCAGCACCCAGCACCATTCTGTTCATGTCATTGGGGGAAACTGCCAATGCCCTTCTTAGAATGGTGATGATACCACCAGCAGCAGCAACAACACTTCTTTGGCAATCATGAGTCCAGATTTTAGAAGTGCTTTATATGTTTATACTGACACCCCATTGAATCCTCATGACAGCCCGAAGAGATAGGTACCAATTATATTATTCCTATTTTACAGATGAGAAAGCAGAGGCACAGAGAGGTTGGGTAACTCACTCAAGGCCATAGAGGTAGTCTCATGGTAGAGCTGGGATTCAAACCTCTACTGTCTAGCTTCCTGGTTTATTTCCTCAATAAAAAACACAAGGGCAGAAATGACCCCAGCTCTTTAGGTGTGTTCTGCCTCCCCAAGAGGAGAATATAAATGGCACCATAAGCCTCTTCTGCACCCCCATTAATTCAACCTAAGACAACATTGACTTTTTTGGAAGCCATACCACACTGATGATTTGCATTCATCAGGCAGTTGCCCAAAATCCCTAAAATGATCTTGATATGAACTGTTCTTAAGCCAGGTCAGTCTCATTTTGTTCACATGCAGTTGAGTAGTTAATCCTAAACGTTGGGCTTTAGGCTTTAGTCGGACTACATTCTAATTTTAGGCTCACAGTAATTTTTAAAACATACTATGTTATCCAATATAAACTCTCCCAACTTAGTGATAATGTAACAATAAAAGCTAACAGTTACTGGAGAACTGTCTTTGGGCCAGGCACCTTGATAAGTGTTTTTTTCATGTAGTATCTTATATAGTTATTTAGTCTTCACATGGAATCTGTTATTATTGTTACTGTTTTTGTTATTATTCAAGCAAATAGAAAATCAAGGCTAGTGAAGTTAAGAAATCTGCTCAAGATCCAATAAGGAAGTGACAGACCCAAGGTTCATATTCCAGGACTGTCTGACCCTGGGGCTTGAACTCTTATCCATCCATATTTCTCTCACCTCTTTGTAACAACCATGTACTTGCCGTTAGATAAGTCAATCATGAAAAATGTCAAACAGAATCAAGGACAGAACTCAGAAATAAACTACATCCCTCCGGGCATACATGAACCAATTTCTCATGGAGTCATAAACAACTAGAGATCGCAGCATTTTTTATATAATACTGAGAACCAGGGAAGCTGAGTGATTTGCCCAAGCTCACACACCCAAGGCAATAAAGGAGATGGATAAGTAAACAGTCCAGAGAAACAAGTGCTTCATTCCATCAACACACACTTTTGAGTATAAAGGAAAAACCAGCTGAAAAGTTTTGCAATTACAGCATCATCTAAATTGCAATTTTCCAATTTGTTCACATTCATCTCATGAGATTTTTATCAAAAACCTTTCTAGAGTCAATGTTCACTTCATCAAAAGCACCCCTTGATCTGGGAAGATGGGATTCAACTGTCCCAACCAACTCACAGTGAACACGTGGAACTCCCTTATGCTAAAGGTTCATAAATCGTCTGCCTGATAACTCAGTAGAGGATTTTGTGAAGAATTAACATCTGTGTGAGGTTTTGCAAGATTGCCAAGTCCTGACAACCATCATGCAAGTTATCCCCAGTCACCAAGCATCATCCAACGGTGTTACTGAGTCCAAGCTCATACTGCTCGCCAAACTGAAACCATTTGGGTGTCGTTTCAGGGGCTCCAAAGAGCTCCAGTACCATAGTCCTTCATGTCGCGGCACAGAGAAGAATCCATCGAGAACAAAGAGATAGATAAGAAGTGATTTATGAGAAAAGGACACTTGTGAGGCTTAAAAATAGGCAGGCGAGGGGGCACCCCACCCTGAGAACTTACTGGGCTTTATAATCAAAGGAAAAGTGGCAAGGGGGAGAAGAACTTCTTTGTCTTTCTTGAATGGATGTCATGCTTCCATCATCACTTCCTCCTCCAGGTCTGGCAGGTGAGCTTTCTTGTCCCTGCATGGTCAAACTAGGCCCACCAATTATTGTCTTTTATGTGTGCAGAGAGCATGTCCTAGGGATCATTAATTTACTGAGCTCAATGGGAAGGATATGGGTCTCATGTCACCATCATTTTATTGTGGGGGGGCATGTCTTGTGCTTCTGTTGCATGTTTTTTTTTTTTTGCTAAGCAAGCCTGCTTGGTTTTGTGGTTAAGCAAATCTGCTTTCTTGAGCAATCTTTAACTTCTAGGGAGTCTCCATATTTTTTCTATTTATTAATACAATCCCCTAGTGGGGTTAACTATTTAATCACCTATTTTGTCCCTTCACTCTATCCCTATCAAAATAACAAGTCAATAAATTGAGAGATGAGGTTTGTGGCAAGGAACAGTGATTTTCTTTGGAAAGCCAGCAGACAGAGAAGTTGATGGACTAGTGTTCCAAAGAACCATTTTACTGATTTCTATACTAAAAGGGGAGAGAAATGTGGCTGCTTGTACAAACTTCTTGGTGCAGGAATCCTTCGTTCTTGCAGCTGTCTGCATAGGTTTGATCAGGATGTTCCTACAAACCTCCAACAGGACAAAAGCTATTCTCTGTTCTGCAACTTTTTATCTCTATATGAATGGGAAAACGCTACCTCTTTAAAAGTCAGAGACCTGAGAATATGCTACCCTGTGTATTTCAGGCTACACAGAACATTCTTTTAGGAAAGATTCAGAGCCAGCATGACCAAGCACAGGAATACCACACAGCGGTTAGAGCTAAAGCAACAGATGCAGTATGGAGTTAGATCTGCTCTTCTCTGTTATAAACGGTGGTTCTGGGTCTTCCTACCGTGGGCCTGAGATCTACTTAAAGATGCTCAACACATCTCTGTCATCTAAAGCTCTAACTTCTCTCTGTCATTCCCAGGTGAGACTGCTTTTGTTGGTACAGAAGAGAGGAGTCAAATTGAATCAGAGTGGTTCTGTTTTCTTTCTGCCTTCTGCTGTTGTAACTGAATCTGAAAAACCCCTTCTTTTGTCATTTACATTTTCAAGAACCTCAGCTCAGTCTAACACTTAACTCCAGACCTATCTTTGCTTTTTGTCACAGTCCTTGTCAAAGACTGTCCCTGAACAAACTTTAGTCAGGCTCCTCTGAGCCCAGCTAGGTCCCATCATTGGGCACATTATCCAAGAGCCCAGTTTTGGCAAGAATCCTGCTAAGTCAGTTTAGCCAGAATCTCCCACCCTTGATATCTGATTAAATTCTTCATCCTCAATCATTCCTCAGGTAATCTCTGGTCACCCTGGCTTGCCTTCACCAAGAATCCTATCAGGTCATTTTAGCCAGAATCTCCCCTTACTCCTAATTCTTCCTTAGTAATTTTTCATCCACTGGTGCCACCTCCTTCCACCCCTCATTCGGCTCCTTGGCTATGAATTCCCACTTTTCCTTACTGTATTCGCAGCTAAGCCAAGTCTGTCTTCCCTAGACACAGCCCCACTGAGGCAGCCCCTGTGTCTATCACGACAGTCCTGATCACAACATCATTTAGTAAGAGGTGGGATCAGTATTTAACTACAAACCGCCTTTGGAACCTCAGCCTTTTACTACTATGCTATACTATACCTATATTATCTGCAAATGTATTAATAGCTAAGGCATTGATTAAAACACAGACACTAACAGAATCTTGAGATTTCTACCCACCTGTCTCTCAGTCAATTAAGCAGACAAAGAATAGCCTGAAGAGAACATGAAGGTCCAGAGATTTTGAGTAATTTAATCAGTGTTAGTAGATAATTTCTTTAAGGGTAAAATCATGACTCTGGCAAAGACAAACCCAGTAAATGTGGTAAGGACAGACTTTAATCAGTAATAGACTGCAGCAGTCAGTTCAACGTGAACTGAGTTTGGATTTGTGCATTTTGAAGGGAGAGTGAGGAGGGAACAGGGACAGAGTGGGGCGTCAGTAGAGTCAGGGGAGTGATACATTACAGAAAATAGGAAGGGGAGGTTGGTCTGCATGAAACCATCTGGCTTTGTTAGGCTTCTCTCCTCCTACAGACGGGGAACAGGGACCCTAGATTTAGGTGTTGGTTGGAACAAACAGCAAATTATGTTCTCAGGTAGGCACTTGAAGGTGGGAGGGGGGGTGATGCGGGGGTTGGGCTGGGTCATCCTAGGGATGTAGCTATGAGCTGCTAGTGTCGTGTTCACATCTTTAAAGGACTAGTCAAGAAAGGCTCAGAATTTCATCAAGGCTAGAATCTTTGTCAACTCTCAGAACATGTATCAAACATTTTATTTAACTCACTAATTAATAATAGGGCCAATTAAAATGTTACAACCAATTCAAAGGAGAACTCACACTACTGCACACTTATAGTCAGATAAGAAATACTGAAATGATTTTACAAATAGAGGCAAAACTGGAAAAACCAGTCCGTACCCATGGACTGGTTTTTCCCCACAATGATAAACAGTTGCATTCCACAAGAGACAATTTGCATTTTATGAAAGGAATTATTTGCATTACTATCAAATAAATAAAACCAGAAATGAAAGAGATGTTACAACTGAAAATACAGAAATACTAAGAATCACAAGAAGCTACTATAAACAATTAGATGCCAACAAATTAGATAACCTAGAATAGATACATTTCCTAGAAACATACAACCTACCAATATTGAATCATGAATAGAATAGTTACTAGTAAAGAAATT